GTTGTTACAATGTACAAAGTCTATGCATTTCTGTGAACCGGTCGATTTTAGTCATTCTCACACTACGAAAAACTCACACGCATTCCGTTTGCGTATACTAAAAATTACCCCTAACCATTTATGGCAATTTAGCATTTGGCTGGTCAGTGATGTCTTTTTTTGTTGCGTTTTTCGTCACAGTTTTCAAATAACTAAATTGTTTGACTATCAGTGACGTAGAACGCATGTTTTCCTAAGCTTTATGCACCATTTTCGCCAATATTCAATTACTTTTCTTTATACACTGTCAGAACAGAAACTTTAAAGGAGCTGTGTAACTATGTCAGACTATGTCGGCATGAACTATCAGCAACTACTGTATCACTCTAAAACCAGATGGCTCACTTTGTTTCCAGCTGTTGAGAGGCTGCTGAAGCTGTTTATTGCTTTAAAAGAAGATTTTCTTTCTGTAAACCAACCACCAGCTATGATAAAAATAAAATTTTGAGAACAATTTTTCAGAAGTTTATCTTTGTTTTCTGCATTCCTTGATGTCTGTCTTCCAAGTCAATATTGCAGTGATTGAAAGAGAAGAAACATCAGTATTAGAGGTTATGAGCCTTTTTCACACAACCTTGGTAGTTTTGAAAAACAGATTGAAGGAGACATTTCTTTCACGGAAAGTCAGGGAGATGTTGAGAAGACTTGAGGAAATTGGTCGAGAAGAAGAGTATAATACTTTTATGGCAGATGTTAAGTTGGTGTATGAAGCATGCATCAGTTACTTAGAGAAGTGCTTGAAACCTTTTGATGAATTTCAATGCTTTAATTGGATGTACTGTAAATTTGATGACCTCTTGGCATGCATATTGTATATGAAAGAGAAGGGTATTATTGTAGATGATGTGCAATTGTTTGACCAACTCTGCAATCTTAAGTTGTATGAGAAGAAAAAGCCTTTGTCTCATAATTCAGTGAAGGGGTTATAGAACTTTGCGTAGGGCAGAGCCTAGATTGCCTACGAGTCATCAGTGATTTATTTTGAAAACTAATATCTGCAACGTAAAAAATGAACCCAAAATAAATTCAGCTTTCTTTCCTAACTAGATGAATACACGTATGCCCAATTATGTTTCATTTATGATAGGTCATTCTTTTGTTAGCACATTTCCTCTAGCCAACCATTTTTTGTTATTGCACACAACTTTCGACTATTGTTTGTTTTTTTTACACAATTTTAATTGATTAAAAATATTGGATTTGTGGGTTAATTTAATTGGTTAAAGATTAAATAACAAAGTTTAAAATATATTTCTAAGCGTTGCTATAAATTGTATTTATTATAAATAGTTTTTAATGGCATAACAACATGTCTGAGTGATTTAATGACGATAATGAAAAACATGCCAATCGCTCTCTGTCATTCCTATCTCCCCTTATCTCGCTCGCTCTCTGGTGTCTCTCTCTTTCAAATGTCTCTACCGCTCGTTACTCTCTCTCTCTCTCTCTCTCTCTCTCTCTCTCTCTCTCTCTTTCTCTCTCTCTGTATTGCACCCTCCTCCTCGCGCACTGATACGAATGTGAAATAACATCAGCCTTGCATCAACCATCCGTCATGTTAGCCACATCCCTTCTCTCACCCAGCACTCGATCTACTGCTAGATATTTACAGCCAAATTACAACAAACAGTACACCTCTATTGTCTGCAACAAGACTCATGCCTTTCATCACATTCGACAGATGATACAATATTGTAAAACATGACTCTAAAATGCACATTAACAAATTGTAATTACATGTTATGTATAAATAAAATTTATTTCAAATGTCCAATGAAATTACTTTGTTTTTGTAAATTACTTGGGTCCAAAAAAAAAAACACAAAAAAACCCAAGCCATTGCCGTTTTCTTCAATTGTCCACCCTTTGTGTTGGAAGCTCATTGGAAAAAATAATCCTAAAATAGAATTGCATACTTCCAAGAGACAGATTTTGATTTGACCTCACAGAAGGCCTCAATGCCACCCAGATGAGCTCCCTTCACTCTGATGACATTGATTAGTCAATGATTACATTCAGACGAATGGCTGTAGGGTAAGGTGACCTTTCGCACTGATTTTACAGGGACTTTCGTGGGTTGTTGTTTTTTACCTTTGTCCTGGTTTCTCCTGAGTTGACATCAGTACAGTTTGGGGCAGAAGATTTGTTTTTGTTGTTGTTTGTTAATTGACCAAAAACTCCAAGTACATCTGATATCCAGGGCATTAATAATAAGTAAAATATTTTTTTTCCAAATTGGAATAACGATACTTTTTTTTCAAATGAAGCCTCACAGAAAGAATAGCTCTCCGCGTCACAGACAGAATAGCTCTCCGCGTCACAGAGAGAATAGCTCTCCGCGTCACAGACAGAATAGCTGTCCGCGTCGCAGACAGAATAACTGCCCGCATCACTGCAAGAATAGATGTCCGCGTCACAGACAGACTAGCTGTCCGCGTCACAGACATACTAGCTGTCCGCTTCACAGACAGACTAGCTGTCCGCGTCACGGACAGACTAGCTGTCCGCGTCATAGACAGACTAGCTGCTCGCGTCACTGCAAGAATAGATGTCCGTGTCACAGACAGACTAGCGGTCCGCGTCATAGACAGACTAGCTGCCCGCGTCACTGCAAGAATAGATGTCCGCGTCATAGACAGACTAGCTGCCCGCGTCACAGACAGACTAGCTGTCCATGCAATCATAAATAGTTGGATTTGTTTTGTTTGGTGATTTATTATTTTTTTTGTTGTTTTTTTTTTTGGTCGTTGTTTTTTTGACACCCATGGTTCTTTTGACACCCATGGTTCTTTTGACACCCATGGTTCTTTTGACACCCATGGTTCTTTTGACACCCATGGTTCTTTTGACACCCATGGTTCTTTTGACACTGTAACACATCTACTCTGACATGGCGTGGGATCTTATTTCTTATGCTGTGGGTTATGTCAGCAGTATGGGTACTTATGTTAATACTTCAGGATGCCGACTAAGACTTCTTCATTCTTCCACTTATTATCCAGGCACGTAAAGAAGAATACTCAATTCTGGTTAAAACTTACAGTACTTTATTGAACACACGTTATACTGATAATATTAATAATAATCCTTGCATGAATGTAATTTCATATATATATATAGTATTATTCCATCATTCAGTGAGACACGTCCTCACACTACTACAACTCAGCTCAACTGCCTAATCACACAGCTCTCCTAGTTCTACTGTTCTCTACTGCTCTGCGCTCAGCCCTGACTATCTCAGTCAACTCATACTTTATTACCAGCAAAGCGTGGAAAACAACCGCTCTGACAAAAACATAATTTTACTCTCCAAAAACGTGGAGCTCACATTGTCCTCTCAAAATACAATTCATTGATTGTCTCTCCCCTTGGAAAAACCTGGTCAACACAATTCACTGTTCACTCACGCTACCTCTCTGTTTTGTTGTGAAAATATGGTCCGTTACAGACACCCATGGTTCTTTTGACACCCATGGTTCTTTTGACACCCATGGTTCTTTTGACACCCATGGTTCTTTTGACACACATGGTTCTTTTGACACCCATGGTTCTTTTGACACCCATGGTTCTTTTGACACCCATGGTTCTTTTGACACCCATGGTTCTTTTGACACCCATGGTTCTTTTGACACCCATGGTTCTTTTGACACCCATGGTTCTCTTGACACCCATGGTTCTTTTGACACCCATGGTTCTTTTGACACCCATGGTTCTTTTGACACCCATGGTTCTTTTGACACCCATGGTTCTTTTGACACCCATGGTTCTTTTGACACCCATGGTTCTCTTGACACCCATGGTTCTTTTGACACCCATGGTTCTTTTGACACCCATGGTTCTTTTGACACCCATGGTTCTTTTGACACCCATGGTTCTTTTGACACCCATGGTTCTTATTAAAAAAGCCCGACTTTTACATTATTATTATTTTTTTAGGGACCTTACTTTGATTTTGTACAACAACAAAAAATGGTCACCTTATTGTAGAGATGATTGTTGAGTAGCATTTTAATAGAATTAGTTCGTCAATTGAGCCTACCCCTTCTAATCCACGTAAACAGGGAAACAACTCCCCACTGGAACAATGGATAAAGATGGCAGCGTGGAAGGGGAGATAATGTGTTAGGGACGCGTTGTCATATAGAAAAGAATGAAGATAAAATAAAGATAGATCATATCTCGTACTATACAGAATTTAATCATTTTTTTTTTACTTGTACTGTACAACAATAGGTCATTTGTAAGGAAGAACACTTGGATGCCATAGGCAATTGAACTAAATCTAAAGCGTACAGAATTTTAAAAATATCCCACTTCTTGTACAGTCCCAGATCTCTTTCCACACCGCACTGAACCAGTTACCAGACAAACATCTGCTTATCTAATCCTATAGAACAGTATTAGATTTTTTTGTTAAACAATGCATAGGCCTAGATTAAAGCATTCGATTTTTTTATATACTTCGTTATCTTACTAATTCGATGAGTTTTAAATGCGATGGTTTAGTTTGTCGACACACCTACAAATTTTTTTTTACAAATTATTTCAAGTCATTGATGAAACTTTAATCATAAAATGCTTGTCATAAATGATCACAGAGACATGTTCAGTTGTGTCTTTTTTATTCTCTCCCTCTCTCTCTCGCCTAACCCCGGCTGTGGTTTCAAATCCCATGATCATGACACCTTCCAGTCCCAGTGTATGACTTCCTTTCCTCAAAGGCAGTAACTTTTCTATTTTAAAAAATTGAAATAAACACTAAATTTTAAACATAATGTTTAGTATTAGATTTGTCTCATCATAAAGATAAACAAAGAATTAGACCGTTGAGACATTCATCCTAATATCTCGTCAGTTGAATTTTTCTGTCTTCTCAGCCACAAATCCTCAGTCCTTAGTCTGCCTTAGATTCAACCACTAAACGTCTTTTAATGTCACTTCCGGTTTCATTTTTTGAATCAGACAGATATGACCAGTGTTTTGTTTCCAGCAACCTCAATTGCTGGCCGGAGTGCAAAGAAACTATCATACTCGCTGTCAAACTCATCCTCCCCATTGGTCAGTACCGCCCAGTACGTGCATCCAGCCTGCCCCTTCCTCTTCATGCAGTTTTTCCAATCCCGGTACGACTCCGTCACCATTTTCTTCCACCTCCCGACCTGAGCAAAATGCACGTTTTTGATGGTGGCCGGCACCATCCCGTACAGGAACACGTCGTCGATCCAGAAAAACTCGATGCTCTTGCCCACCTCGTACATGGAGCGCACCAGGTCGGGGGTCACGATGACAAAAAAGCCCGCGCAGTACGGGAACGGGTAGCTGGAGTTGGAGAACAGGCCCCTCTCCACCTTCCACTTGCCGGTCCGGCCGACCTTGGCGTGTTCCCAGAACTGGCAGTGGATGGCCTTAGATTTCAAACTGCCGCCTATCCGGTTCCAGTAGCGCGTGAAAAACTTGCGCACGTCGAAGAAGACGTCGTCGTCCATCTTGATGAGGAGTTTGATGTCCGAGCACGTGCTGCTGACCCACCGGAAGCCCATGACAGCCTAAAATTAGAAGTTAAAATTGCTCTGTGATAAGATGGGAATACTCTTGAAGAGAATTTGTCAAGTTTTTGTTAATTCTATTAAAAAAAAAAAACAACAACATAATAAGGACGATGTTGGTAAAACAGAAGTTTTAAACTATACACAACAATTGTATTTCTGTTCGTTTCAATATGGTAACACTTGTATTATATAAAACAATACATTTTTTATATATAAGAAAAATATATTTAATTTGCATTTAACCCATTATCAAATATGTGTCCTGATTTATATTGGAGCTAACCATGTGTGTATGTCATGGGTTTATTGCTCTCCTTGTGTGTATGTTATGGTTTCATCGCTATCCATGTGTGTATGTCATGGGTTTATTGCTCTCCTTGTGTGTATGTTGTGGGTTTATTGCTCTCATTGTGTGTATGTCATGGGTTCATTGCGATCCATGTGTGTATGTCATGGATTCATTGCTCTCCATGTGTATATGTCATGGGTTCATTGCTATCCATGTGTGTATGTTATGGGTTCAATGCTATCCATGTGTGTATATCATGGGTTCATTGCTATCCATGTGTGTATGTTATGGGTTCATTGCTATCCATGTGTGTATGTCATGGGTTCATTGCCATCCATGTGTGTATGGCATGGGTTCATTGCTCTCCATGTGTATATGTCATGGGTTCATTGCTATCCATGTGTGTATGTTATGGGTTCAATGCTATCCATGTGTGTATATCATGGGTTCATTGCTATCAATGTGTGTATGTTATGGGTTCATTGCTATCCATGTGTGTATGTCATGGGTTCATTGCTCTCCTTGTGTGTATGTCATGGGTTTATTGCTCTCCATGTGTGTTTACCATGGGTTCATTGCTATCCATGTGTGTATGTTATGTGTTCATTGCTATCCATGTGTGTATGTCATGGTTTATTGCTATACATGTGTGTATGTCATGGGTTGATTGCTCTCCATGTGTGTATGTCATGGGTTCATTGCTATCCATGTGAGTATGTCATGGGTTCATTGCTATCCATGTGTGTATGTCATGGGTTTATTGCTCTCCTTGTGTGTATGTCATGGGTTCATTGCTCCCCTTGTGTGTATGTCATGGGTTTATTGCTCTCCTTGTGTGTATGTTATGGGTTCATTGCTATCCATGTTGGTATGTCATGGGTTTATTGCTATCCATGTGTTCATGAATGTGTACCTTGAGCGTCAGATTCTGGTACGTGTCCAAGAACGATCCCATCACCGTGTCCCGGTGCTCCATGTTCTCTTTCTCCAGCTTGATACCAAGGTCAGCGTTCTCCACTTGACCGATCAGAAACACCAACTGTCAGAGGGTAACAAAGTCATTCATAGTTAGGAGAGAGGATCAAAGTCATTCATACACTAGTTAGGAAAGAGTAACAAAGTCATTCATACATTAGTTAGGCGAGAATAACAAAGTCATTCATACACTAGCTAGGAGAGAGTGACAAAGTCATTCATACATTAGCTAGGCGAGAGTAACAAAGTGATTCATACACTAGCTATGAGAGAGTAACAAAGTCATTCGTACACTAGCTAGGAGAGAGTAACACATTCGTTCATACACTAGCTAGGAGAGAGTAACAAAGTCATTCATAAACTAGCTAGGAGAGAGGAACAAAGTCATTCATACACTAGCTAGGCGAGAGTAACAAAGTCATTCATACACTAGCTAGGAGAGAGTAACAAAGTCATTCATACACTAGCTAGGAGAGAGTAACAAAGTCATTCATACACTAGCTAGGAGAGAGGAACAAAGTCATTCATACACTAGCTAGGAGAGAGTAACAAAGTCATTTATACACTAGCTAGGAGAGAGTAACAATGTCATTCATACACTAGCTAGGAGAGAGTAACAAAGTCATTCATACACTAGCTAGGAGAGAGTAACAAAGTCAACAAACACTAGCTAGGAGAGAGTAACAAAGTCATTCATACACTAGCTAGGAGAGAGTAACAAAGTCATTCATACACTAGCTAGGAGAGAGTAACAAAGTCATTCATACACTAGCTAGGAGAGAGGAACAAAGTCATTCATACACTAGCTAGGAGAGAGTAACAAAGTCATTTATACACTAGCTAGGAGAGAGGAACAATGTCATTCATAAAATACCACAAATGACATCCGAATAGCACTGAGTCAAAATGGATCCAGACACGTTGCACCGCCATTCGCACCCGGGTACCAGCAGAATCCAGCTATTCGGATGTCATTGGTGGTAGTTTATTTTAGTTAAACTGAAGAAATAAGTTTACAAACATAGAGTCCATTCAATTATCTTTCATTTGATACATCCTTTTGTCTTACAAACCAAACAATAATATTTTAAATAGTTTTTTAATGCCAACCTCTCACTTCTGCGACAGCCTTTATTTATTGTGGAAGGGCTTTATCCTGAAAGGAGTAAAACATTTTGCTATCTCCTATGATTTGTTCACAGCTCACCTTCAACCTGAACGGCTTCGTGTTGTTGTAATTGGCGTAGGTCCTTCTAAACCTGTCCCGTCTTTTGAAATGGTCAGCTGAGGTGTGGACGATGATGAGAGCGTCCAGGTCTGTGGTGTTACTGCACTCATCGACTGTCCCTATGGAGATCCTGGTCAGGTCATCACTGGCTTGCCTAGTTTGAAATCAGAAAAAGTGCGCAGTTGTCAAGTTTCGGTAAATGGAAGACTGGAGGGGGACTGATACGGAAATGTAGTCTTTCTGACTGATTTGGTTTAAAGCTCAAAACGATGATGTCTCTCTATGAATCCTTTATATCATTTTCGCTTTTGTTCGTGTGTTTCCGTGTTCTAGGCATAATCTTCGGACGGCTAACTGACCCACTTCCCGAAATCCCATCGAACTGACACCTGGCACACAGACTCTTTGCTGATGACAACACATTCTGTCACATCATCATCACCTCACCCCACTAAACGTCTGTTGTTCAAGGTGAGGGTGAATGTGAAGAAAGTATGATGACACTAAGATCAAGAAATTTAATTCGCGATAACTGCGCTAAATGAGGTCTATTTTTTATAATATCGCAAGTGCGTTTTGTGCGTAATAGTTTCTTTTGTTTTTCTGAAATACTTAGTGTAATAAATCTGCGGTGTAAAAAAGGTTGGGACTTTAAACTATTAATAGAGTTTGGAGGCGTGTAAAAAATGCGCGGTTGCGAGCCTTTGAGCGGGCGGGGGGGGGTGGGGGACTAATTGAGATTCATATGAAGTGCGTTACTTGAATGCATTTTGTGTCGAATTTTCATCGCCCACCCTCAACCCCAAAATAAGTATATTGACTGAGCTTTCATTTTTGCGTTTCTTTCTTGCAAAATTTCCGGAAGGCTTATGGACCGTCATCATATTGAGCTGAAACTTGGCACATAGACTCGTCGCCGATGAAAACCCATTATATAAAATTAATGAGGATTCCCCATGCCGCCCCCCCCCAAAAAAAAGCCAACATTTGTTTTCCTGTCTTTCAGGGGACAGATACAGGAAATTTGATGAAATGATTTCGTAACAGCTATAGTTAGCCATCGCTAAGTCGCAAAAATTGCTTATAAAAGATGTATACCAAAAGTTTTGTTTTTATTTAAATTTTGTTAAGGAAAGGGGAGGTGTACTTAATCTGATTTTACTACAGTAAAATTTTAAGGAATCTTTTAAAGAGTGAAGAAATATTGTAATTTTAATACATTTTTAAACATTAGTCAATAAATTGATTGCTGTTGATGTGGAGAATTGATTCCCAGCAAGCTTGCATTGTTGTTGTTGTTTTTTTTTGGGGGGTGGGGGTGGGGTGGATATAGGGCATAGAGAACACGAAATAAGTAATACAACGAATGTCCAATTTGTGAGTCTAAAACAAAGATGGTCTCAGACACGCTAACCTACTAACCTAGGATATTTAATCCAAAGATGGTCTCAGACACGCTGAGCTACTAACCTAGGATATTTAAACCAAAGTTGGTCTCAGACACGCTGAGCTACTAACCTAGGATATTTAAAACAAAGATGGTCTCAGACACGCTGATCTACTAACCTAGGATATTTTATCTTCGGCTCATCGTCCGGACATCTGAAGATGATCTTTGGCTGGGCGACCATGTACTCAATCTTTTTCTGCTGCTCCCTGACAACCCTGGCCTGGTCGAGGATGGATGGATTGGTCTCTGCCTGGATGCCAAACTGGGACTGGATGGTGTTGTGTATCCACAAGTACATGCCACAGCAGACGATGGCGAAGAAGGCGTGGCTCAGTCGCAGGGAACGTGTCAGGTGATTGCTGTGTGATGGAGATGTTAAACTATGTTAACACGCTGACGACCAAGAGAAGTTAAACTATGTTAACACACTAACAACCAAGAGATGTTAAACTATATTAACACACTAACAACCAAGAGATGTTAAACTATGTTAACACAAAAGACCAAGTATTTTAAACTATGTTAACACACTAACGACCAAGTATGTTAAACTGTGTTAACACACTAACGACCAAGAGAAGTTAAACTATGTTAACACACTAACAACCAAGAGATGTTAAATTATGTTAACACGCTGACAACCAATGATGTTAAACTATGTTAATACACTAACAACCAAGATATGTTAAACTATGTTAACACACTAACAACCAAGAGATGTTAAATTATGTTAACACGCTGACAACCAATGATGTTAAACTATGTTAATACACTAACAACCAAGATATGTTAAACTATGTTAACACACTAACAACCAAGTATGTTAAACTATGTTAACACACTAACGACCAAGTATGTTAAACTATGTTAACACACTAACGACCAAGTATGTTAAACTATGTTAACACACTAACAACCAAGAGATGTTAAATTATGTTAACACGCTGACAACCAATGATGTTAAACTATGTTAATACACTAACAACCAAGATATGTTAAACTATGTTAACACACTAACAACCAAGTATGTTAAACTATGTTAACACACTAACGACCAAGTATGTTAAACTATGTTAACACACTAACGACCAAGTATGTTAAACTATGTTAACACACTAACAACGAAGAGAAGTTAAACTATGTTAACACGTGGACAAAAAAGAGATGTTAAGCTATGTTAACACGCTGACAACCAAGGATGTTAAACTATGTTTACGCACTAACAACCAAGAGATGTTAAACTATGTTGACACACTAACAACCAAGATATGTAAAAACCATTAACTGGATTGAAGTCCTGGCAGGCTTAAACTTACAGCAAATACAAAATGTTTTGTTCAAACTGAGACTTGGTAATGGGGTCATTTTATCATTGACGAAGTGAATTGGTTACTTTCAATGCTAAACAAAACACCAGTGTCACAAAACATTAATGGAACATTTATCATTGACGAAGTGAATTGGGTACTTTCAATGCTAAACAAAACACCAGTGTCACAAAACATTAATGGAACATTTATCATTGACGAAGTGAATTGGGTACTTTCAATGCTAAACAAAACACCAGTGTCACAAAACATTAATGGAATATTTATCATTCACGAAGTGAATTGGGTACTTTCAATGCTAAACAAAACACCAGTGTCACAAAACATTAATGGAACAATAAATTTTAGCGCAGTTTGGAGAAATGGTTATAGATATGTATTGAGATCCGAAAATTGCTTGAGAAGTCCTCCCTGTATTTTCCGTTTTGTCTAACCCTGGGTAAACACAAATCATGAACATCCAACAACTGGTTCTGAACGGATAAACACAAACAATCACCGCCTAACAACTGGTTATGAACGGATAAACACAAACAAACCCCACCCAACAACTGGTTCTGAACGGATAAACACAAACAGACCCCACCCAACAACTGGTTCTGAATAGATAAACACAAACAAACCCCACCCAACAACTGGTTCTGAATAGATAAACACAAACAAACCCCACCCAACAACTGGTTCTGAATAGATAAACACAAACAAACCCCACCCAACAACTGGTTCTGAATAGATAAACACAAACAAACCCCACCCAACAACTGGTTCTGAATAGATAAACACAAACAAACCCCACCCAACAACTGGTTCTGAATAGATAAACACAAACAAACCCCACCCAACAACTGGTTCTGAATAGATAAACACAAACAAACCCCACCCAACAACTGGTTCTGAATAGATAAACACAAACAAACCCCACCCAACAACTGGTTCTGAATAGATAAACACAAACAAACCCCACCCAACAACTGGTTCTGAATAGATAAACACAAACAAACCCCACCCAACAACTGGTTCTGAATAGATAAACACAAACAAACCCCACCCAACAACTGGTTCTGAATAGATAAACACAAACAAACCCCACCCAACAACTGGTTCTGAATAGATAAACACAAACAAACCCCACCCAACAACTGGTTCTGAATAGATAAACACAAACAAACCCCACCCAACAACTGGTTCTGAATAGATAAACACAAACAAACCCCACCCAACAACTGGTTCTGAATAGATAAACACAAACAAACCCCACCCAACAACTGGTTCTGAATAGATAAACACAAACAAACCCCACCCAACAACTGGTTCTGAATAGATAAACACAAACAAACCCCACCCAACAACTGGTTCTGAATAGATAAACACAAACAAACCCCACCCAACAACTGGTTCTGAATAGATAAACACAAACAAACCCCACCCAACAACTGGTTCTGAATAGATAAACACAAACAAACCCCACCCAACAACTGGTTCTGAATAGATAAACACAAACAAACCCCACCCAACAACTGGTTCTGAATAGATAAACACAAACAAACCCCACCCAACAACTGTTTCTGAATAGATAAACACAAACAAACCCCACCCAACAACTGGTTCTGAATAGATAAACACAAACAAACCCCACCCAACAACTGGTTCTGAATAGATAAACACAAACAAACCCCACCCAAAAACTGGTTCTGAATAGATAAACACAAACAAACCCCACCCAACAACTGGTTCTGAATAGATAAACACAAACAAACCCCACCCAACAACTGGTTCTGAATAGATAAACACAAACAACCACCGCCCAACATCTTGTTCTGAATAGATAAACACAAACAAACCCCACCAACAACTGGTTCTAAATAGATAAACACAAACAAACCCCACCCAACAACTGGTTCTGAATAGATAAACACAAACAACCACCGCCCAACAACTGGTTCTGAATAGATAAACACAAACAAACCCCACCCAACAACTGGTTCTGAATAGATAAACACAAACAACCACTGCCCAACAACTGTTTCTGAATAGATAAACACAAACAAACCCCACCCAACAACTGGTTCTGAATAGATAAACACAAACAAACCCCACCCAACAACTGGTTCTGAATAGATAAACACAAACAAACCTAACCCAACAACTGGTTCTGAATAGATAAACACAAACAACCACTGCCCAACAACTGTTTCTGAATAGATAAACACAAACAAACCCCACCCAACAACTGGTTCTGAATAGATAAACACAAACAACCACTGCCCAACAACTGTTTCTGAATAGATAAACACAAACAAACCCCACCCAACAACTGGTTCTGAATAGATAAACACAAACAAACCCCACCCAACAACTGGTTCTGAATAGATAAACAC